TCTATAATCATGTGTATTGGTCAATAGAATTATTGTCAGAATGAGGAATTTCGTGTGGAAACCAGAACTTAAATAAATGTAGGAGGAGCTGAGAAATGTAGCTCTGGGAAGGCCAAGGTTCAGAGTGACAGTTACCATGTCTGCCTGGAATATCAGCAGTGGTGAGGAGTTGGAAATTGTAAGAAACAAACAAACAAACAAACAAATAAACAAACAACAAACAAAACAGGGAAACTCTTCATATCTAGATGCTTCAAGAGAACCATGAAAGGGCAACTCATGAATACCTAGAATCTTTTGAAAAGCTTTCGGAAAGCCCTTTAAGGAAGCAGTTTCCTCTGTGAAAACCATTCTTCTAAGGGAACTGTCGCTTTTACAGCTCTAGAAAGCAGGGGAAATGTTATAAAATGTTATAGTTGTCCCTATTTATTATCATGACTGTGTGCCACAACCTACCAAAAATAATGATTTGGTGCTTCCTTTCTGCCTTACAAGTATTGCTGGGTTGGTTTCTTGGCCCAGTCTAAAAATCTGGAACAAATAAGGAGGATTTTATGTGAAACAATTTACCAGCCTCTGATGGAGATAGTAGTGCCAAGCTGACAACTTGCTATCCAACACATTTTACTAAGAGCAGGAATCATCTTTCTGACGGTGGCAATCTGAACAGAATGAGAGAGAGAGAGAGAGAGAGAGAGAGAGAGAGAGAGAGAGAGAGAAAGGAAGTTACTCTCTCCTAAAATAATCTTAAGAAACATCTTTTCTCAAAAGAGTAAAAAATACAATACCCAAGAAGTGTATATTTTGGTAAAGCAATAGTTATCCACTAAAAATAAATAAATAAAAGACATTTGTTCTACTTATGATACTGGTACAGGCAAACCTATCTATCCTATGAGTAAAATGGCTGAAAAATTATTTGATTTTTAGTAATTACATAAGCATAAACTGAATTATATGGATCATGAGAAAAACTACACACACATATTTTCCTTCCTTTTAAAATTTTAGTCAAAGATAAGATTTTATATGAATTATTACAGCCCACTAGTATGGGATAATAATGGCCTAGAGACAGAACCAAACCATTAGTAATTTGAAAAATATACCCATGCTCTGGCTGGTGCGGCTTTGTTGGTTGGAGCATCATCCCTTACACTGAAAGGTCATGGATTTGGTCCCTCCTCAGGACATGTATGGGAGGCAGCCAGTCCATGTGTCTGTCTCACATCCATGTTCTTCTCTCTCCTCCTCCCTCCCTCCTTCCCTCCCTTCCACTTTACCTGAAAAACAATGGGGAAAAAAAGTTTTATTCATTCAAAAAGCAAAAATTGCAATTAATAATAGGCCCATGGTCCATATGTTATTTTAGTTTTTCTATAATATTGCTCAATTCATTCTTAAAAATTAACACACACACCCCACCCCCCCATAGATTATACCTATATTATTCTGGGCTGAGTTCCATCGTCTCTTTCCAGGATTATTGGAATATCCTCCTAACCTTTCTTTTTACTTTTACCTTTGCTTTCCCACTGCATGCTTAATTTCAACCCATCAAGCAATCTGAGTTAGTTAGATAATATTATTCCTCTATTCAAACTTCTGCCATGGGCCCCATCTCACTCATAGTAAAATAAATTATTTGCAATGACCCTCTTTTTCTTCTTCTATCCAACCAGTTGCCTCTCAGATGTAGTTTCCTAATAATATCTTGTTCAGCAAAAAAGTGGCCTTCTTTTTCATTTTTCACAAACATTGCAGGTATGTTCACACTTCAGGGACTCTTAAAAAACCCTGAAGTTTCTTCTCTCCAGAAACGTATCCCTGATATTCACAACTTATTCACCCTTCTGTTCAGATCTTTACTCAAATATAACATGTTTCTCATGTGATATAACCTGGGCCCCCTAACAAAAGTGACCACCAAACACCAAAGTTGCTCATAACTGCTTGTTAATTCTCTGAATATCTATGTCCTTCACACATTTCATTATTTAACATGCTAATTTTGCAGACCTCACTCTAGAAAACAAACTCCTTGAATTCCTAGACTTTCTTTTTTTTTCTTCTTCTTGTTTTTTGGTGGGGGTCGATGGCTATATCCCCAATTGTTAGAAAAGTACTGGTAGAACATCTGGTGCTTATTGAGTATTTATT